ATTAAATAAATCGTTGTATGGATTGAAGCAAGCAGCCAGGTGCTGGTTTGAAGAATTTGATAAAGCTCTCGTTGAAAAAGGATTCCAGAATTCTCCAGTTGATAAATGTATTTATATTTTGGATAAAGGTGACATAACACGAAATATTTATGCAGTCTTGTATGTCGATGATCTGGTGTTAGTCACGAAAGAGCAAGAAACAATGAACAGTCTGAAGGGATATTTGATGGAGCGTTTTAAAATGGTAGATCTGAACGAGATCAAGCTTTTTCTGGGAATTAGAATTACAAGGTCTGATGATAAAATAACTCTTGATCAGAGTAGTTATATTGAAGCAATATTAACTAAATTTAATATGCATGATTGTAATCAAGTGAATACTCCTATGGAGAGTAATGTTGATTATGAAGGTTTGAATTCTGAAGAGAATTGTAATGCACCTTGTCGAAGTGTCATTGGATGTTTAATGTACTTGATGGTTTGTACTCGACCAGATTTGAGTATTGTTGTTAATATATTGAGTCGATACATGAATAATAATAATGAGGTTCTTTGGAAATGCCTCAAGAGAGTTTTGCGTTATTTAAAAGGGTCAAAAGATTTGCAATTGGTCTATGAAAGAAGTAATTACAATGACATTTTGACAGGGTATGTTGATTCCAATTGGGGAGGAAATGATAGTTCGGATAGAAAGAGTACCACAGGATACTTATTCAAACTATTCGAACAATGTACAATATGCTGGAATACAAGAAGGCAAACCTCTGTTGCAGCTTCATCCACTGAAGCAGAGTATATGGCTTTATTCGAAGCAGTGAGGGAAGCATTATGGCTCAAATCACTTGCAATTAGTATAAATATTGAAATTAATCAACCAATTATAATTTATGAAGATAATACCGGATGTATTAGTATTGCCAGTAATCCGTCAAGCCACAAGAGATCCAAGCATATTGACATAAAATATCATTTCTCTCGAGAACAAGTTGCAAAGAATGTAATCAAATTGGTTTATATTCCAACAGGGAAGCAATTAGCAGATGGATTAACGAAGTCACTCCCATCGGCAGGGTTTTTGGAATTCAGGAAGAATTTATGTTTAAAGTGACATAGTTTAAAACAATGTATTTAGATGATAAGTTGATATATATGACTTGTATAGGGCGATCAGGTTTTTCCCTGGGTTTTTCACCTGATCAGTTTGTAGCGCTATACACAGTATTCCCAGAAGGCATAAAGAAGGTGTATCTCAATCCAGTAATATTTTTTTTAGATGTACACATTTTATATGATAAAACTAGTTAAGGTTAATAGATTAATTTTTGAGGGGGCGTGTTGGAATTCATGCCTGAATACAAAAATTAATTTCTTAGTTTAGTTAAACATTTTCTCTTTTCCACCCAAACACTCAGGGTGACATTTATGGCTTTTCTTAGAAAATAGAGACGTGAAGAAAAACAGTCCTCATGGTGAGTCACAAAGGAGAGGCTGAAGAAAATTGAAACAAGGGCCTTTTGTCAAATGGGTCCAGAGAGTGAAAACTCTCATGACTTTTAGTTAGTCGTCCTAGAGACTTCGTTGGAGAAAGATATACCTTCTGCGTGCGATCATTAAAGAGTTTTACTTTGAAGAATAAAACTAATGTGTTTTTATTGAGTATTCCTACACATAATCCAATAGAGAACCACGGGAAATGTTTTTCTTGAGGTTAAATCACTTATTAGAATGAAACGGAAAATCAACTCGGTGTTCCATTTGGTTTTCTCTCGTCAAAAATTCGACTTTCATCCCGCCATATCTGTATTCATATGCGGACCTTGGACACAAAGGTAGTTTATGCACTGTTTGTGAGGTTATTGGTGTATGTTTGGAATGTGACAAAAGTGAGATGTGTCGAAAATATTGTGTGATCAAGTATTAAATGTCCGTGAATAGTTAAATTCGAAAAGAAATGTTTTTTTCTCCGAGTGTAACAGAAAATGTTTTCATTCCGTGGAAAAAAATTCTCATTATCAAAAAAATTTTGTGATTATTTAAGAAAAATTTATGTCATTAGGCCCGAAAAAACCGCGATTCTTCGACTCGAATTACGAACTCACATTCGTCAGAAAACACTTTGTGGACCTAATGATAAAATCTGCTACTCCCGATTTTCACCATAAAATCGATGTGAGGGAATAAACTGAAATCAAGAACCCTGCACTAATAGAAAAATCGACATGATATCACGAAAATCATTTCTTGAGCGAAAAACATCGCATACATATTCATTTTATTTATTTTATTTTTAACGGAATTCGTTGCAAGTCCGAGAACTTGCAACTGGCTATCGCCCGAAGGCCTTCAGCCAGTCGCATACATATTTTATCAATTTATGGTAAGTTTCAGACAAGAAATTGGTGGTCTTCAGGCTAAGGAGGAAGTTACTGAATGGAAAGGTAATGTCGTTTTTCGAAATGAGATAATATTCCTTACAAAACAAGAATAGTTTGACAGAATGAAAAGAAGATATTACTTCCCTTCAAACTCAAAGCGATTGAGCGTAAACGACGGTTATATTTTTTTAATATCTGGAGGTTTTCCTCTACATCAACTCTCTATTCATTCAATATGAAAGTATTTGATTCATGATTCACTGAATTGAATCATTCAATATTTTCAGTCATTTTCTCATCTTTTAACACGAAAAAACCGATTTCCTGCGGCAAGAAATCGGTTTTTTCATAAAATTCTCACTTTATCATCAAATCTTGACGTTCAAGTCATGAACACTTCACCGAAAGCTGACATTGTTTGACACATTATCCGGAATTATTTTTTTTTCTATTTCATTGGTTTTATCGAAGTAATTCTCGATTTGAAACCCCTCCTCTAGCCTGCCTCCCCTCCTTTCTTTTCCTCTCATTGTTATCTGCGGTATCATGGCCGTCTTACTCTTAGCTGTGCCCCATTCGAGCTAGGACTGCACGGGAAACCATGTAAAACCCCAGTCGCACAGCCGGCCGATTGTGCAGTGCCCTAATATATCCATCTGTCACACTGNCCGGAATTCTTATCCCAGGAAATTTATCCTCAAAAGATGAGACATTTGGCAGAAGAAATTAGTTTTGTGATATTACGACGATATTTCTCTCAGTGTGGATTCTTAAAATAAGAACCGGTAGAGGCATTCAAATATTACGTCGCGCAATGTCAGTCTAAGTGCCTCAAGGTGTTTATCTTAAGAATCCCAGGATTCTTTATATCAGTACCCGATTATAAGATCCCAAAATACAGAACTCCAGAACCAAAGTGGATACTGGATTTCCGTCAAGATTACTGAGACTTAAAACTTCTTTAACCGACGGCCTGGCGCAGTGAGTAAGAGGGTTGACTCACATGCGAGAGGTTGCGGGTTCGTTTCCCGGTCGAGTAGAATGGTGATGATCCAACCATTCAAAATCTTGATCAAGCAGCCGCTGCAATAGATTTTGATACATTCAAGTGGTATAGGGCGCTTCGTGCTCCTAATCGCTCCATTAAGTCAGGACGTTATGTGCGCCCAACCATCTTACTCTAGAATGCCTTTTTTACTTAACTTAGAATTTCTCTGATTTTCGGAGAAATATCACTACAAACCAGGAACTTTTTTCTCAGTGGCGTTGCATGGCTTCATGCTCTGCAATATGAAGACGTGTTCGTGTATTGAAGGAAGTGTTCTTCATTAGAAGAGCAATCTCGTTAATTTCAGCAACAATGCCCTTAGTTTGAAGAACTGTTTTTCAATAACAAGTGGGAAATTGATCTTGTATTGTACATAGTATAGTTATTTTTGCTAATAAATTAGCAAAATGCTTCCGAATGGTTATTTGGCACATCATTTCCTTCTATCATCTATAATTCATTGTTTATTTCATTTTATTAAATTGAATAAGATTTCAACTTAGTTGAATGTTATCAGCATCATTACTCTTATTATCCCTTTTCTTCTATACAACCGATTGTCTTTTTTACAGTTCTATCTCTCCCCTCTGCCCTTCCATAAAATGTTAATAGAAAGATTTTATTTACACATACTTGAATGAATTTGAAACATCACATTTGAAGAAACCATCATAAAAATCAAATCAACCAATGTAGCTATCGTAATCATCTTCCAACTTCGAATTAATTGTATTAAAACAAACATTTTAAGCTATGATTGAATTCATTTGAAGCATGACATTTAAAGATATCCCCGGAATTCTAGTTTTCAAAAAATACAACATTTTTGGAAATTTTCAAATAAATCAAAAGAACGATTATTGCTATCACCTTCATTTTCGAACTCGGTTAAAAGGACATCCAAGCACATTTTTTAAGCCATCATTCAATCAATTCAAAATATTTTTTTTAGTTATCTTGGGACAACCAATGTTCGAAAAAATTCAAAAATTAAAAAAACTAATCGATGAATGAAATTTTAATTAACGGCGATCGATAGAGCTCAACAATCCTTACATTTGAAAAAAAAGATTCAATTCCATCTATGCATTAGCCAACAATTGAAGAAAAACTTTACCACACACATAGGTACGGACGCGGTCTAAAAATTACATTTTCTAACTTTTTGAATCATAATGGGTCGATATAATAAAAAAACTAAAACTCAAATTTGAACGTTTATAATGCCTCCATTCGGAAGCAAAAAAATGAGACACACAAATAAAATCTCTGCATAGACCTCATTAGCATGTGAATTCTGTAAGATCTTGTAATCTGCGCTGAGAATTACACCATGAACGGGGAGTTTATGGTGAAAACGGAGTTGCGCCAAAAATACAGTTTTAATGGTGGATTTTAACCCCGCGGTGGATTTTAGCATTCAAAGGCGCCCGGCAAATCTCGAAATAGCGAGAGGTAGCATTTTCATCCAAACTTAAAGAGCATAACGCATGTATATTGCTCGTTGCATTTGAGGCTGGCTAGGGTGAATTGGAAAATGACCCGGTAGTCACGTTTTTACGTTACATTCGGGTACGATGATTCATATATGTGCACGATGTAACACGTATTCAGAGTCGGAATTCCCGAGTACAACTTCCAACGTATGTTAACCTAGCAGGCAAAAGTAGCAGAATCGAATTTTCAACATTGGATAATTTGCAGCTTATTATGAGCTAATTTTATATGCCTTCAAAAATTTTTTTGCTAATACCGTTTTTGAAAAAAACGTGTCTCTGCTAGCTTTTTTGTAAGTTAGCAGAAAAATTATTTAAAAAATCAATAGAATTCGATTTTCGATATCAGATAATTTAAAGCTAATTAACAGCTAATTTTCTACAGTTTCAAAAAATTTTCAGCTAACCCAGTTTTTGGAAAAACGGCGTCAATGCTAGCTTACCGCAAGTTAGCAGAAAAAATGGTTAAAAAATGAACAAACATTCGTTTTCAATATGGGATAATTTAGAGCTCATTAGCAGCTATTTTTTTACGTTTCAAAAAATTAAAAAAAAAAACAAATTTTGTTTTCAAAACAACATTTTTTCTGAATTTTTGTTTTTTTTTTACAAAACGACGCATTTACATACTTTTGACTGAAATGTAGAAATGAACTAAATCTCATTCATAAAAGTGGCAAAAAAAACAGTTTTGATATTGGATAATTGAAAAATCATTACCAGATGATTTGTTATAATTCCAAAAGTTTTCATCTTTATGCCGTTTGGAAAACAATAGCGTTGCGGCTTATTATGAGCTAATTTTATCTGCATTTNATATTGGATAATTGAAAAATCATTACCAGATGATTTGTTATAATTCCAAAAGTTTTCATCTTTATGCCGTTTGGAAAACAATAGCGTTGCGGCTTATTATGAGCTAATTTTATCTGTATTTAAAAAATTTTCTGCTAATGCCATTTAAAAAAAAAAGCGTATTCATGCTAGCATGATGCGTATGCTAGCTTTTTTGTAAGTTAGCAGAATAATCATTTAAAAAATCAATAGAATTGAATTTCCGATATCGCATCATTTAAAGCTAATTAAGAGCTAATTTTCTACGTATGCAAAAAAAATTTCAACTAACCCAGTTTTTGGAAAAACGGCGTTGATGCTACCTTACCGCAAGTTAGCAGAAAAAATGGTTAAAAATTAACAAAATTTGATTTTCGACATGGGATAATGTACAACTCATTAGCAACTATTTTTCACGTTTCGAAAAATTTTTGAAAAAAATTTTTTTTTCTCAAAAAATATTTTTTTTTAATAAAAAAATTCAATGTTTCTTTTTCACAAAATGTAGGAATGACCACATTTGTGAAAGTGATAAAAAAATCCTTTTTGACATTGGATAATTGAAAAATCATCGGATAATTTGTTATTATTCCAAAAGTTTTCATTTTTATACCGTTCAGAAAACAATAGCGTTGCGGCTTATTATGAGCTAATTTTATATGCACCTAAAAAATTTTCTGCCAATGCCATTTAAAAAAAAACGTATTCATGCTAGTTTTTTTTGTAAGTTAGCAGAATAATCATTTAAAAAATCAAGAGCTAATTTTCTACGTATGCAAAAAAAATTTTAACTAACCCAGTTTTTGGAAAAGCGGCGTTGAAGCTATCTTACCGCAAGTTAGCAGAACAAATGGTTAAAAAATTAACAAAATTTGGTTTTCGACATGGGATAATTTAGAGCTCATTAGCAGCTATTTTTTCACGTTTCAAAAAATAATATTTTTTTCAAAACATTTTTGTTTTTTTTTCACAAAACGACGCATTTATATACTTTTTACCAAAATGTAGAAATGAACGAAAAAATCAGTTTTGACATTGGATAATTGAAAAATCATTACCAGATAATTTGTTATAATTCCAAAAGCTTTCATCTTCATACCGTTCGGAAAACAATAGCGTTGCGGCTTATTATGAGCTAATTTTATATTCATCCAAAAACTGTTCTGCTAGTGCCGTTTTAAAAAATCAAGTGTTTCTGCTAGCTTTTCTGCAAGTTAGCAGAAAAATTATTTAAAAAATCAATAGAATTTGATTTTCGATGTCGGATAATTTCAAGCTAATTAAGAGTAAATTTAAAATTATATTGGAAAATCAAAGAAACATGAATTTCAGTTCAATTATTACATGTGAATGCATGGTAATCATAAAAATTGAGGTAGTAAATCTATTCTTGAATATTCACTTAATCAAAAATTCCGCCTAAAATAACTACTCAATATTCATTTTTTAATTGAAATTTCATGATCCTTTTCCCTTCCTGAAACCAATTTAATTTCGTTTTTCAGAAAGTTGATGGTTAACTGCTCACAAAGTTTCAATGTATTTACTACAAAGTTTATTCAGTGTGACTATTTCTCGCAGATGGAATGAGAAATAACCGAGCCTGATAAGGCTGATAATGCACCTATGGGAGTTCCCCCTACTCGACTCCTTTCTCAAAATTGACTACGAAAACAAAAAATTTCGAATTATAAATAATGATCTGTTAATAATTTTTCAATTATCCAATCTCAAAAATGATTTTTTTGCTACTTTTATAAATGAGATTTAGTTCATTTCTACATTTTGGTCAAAAGTATGTAAATGCGTCGTTTTGTGAAAAAACAAATTTGTTGAAAAGAAAAATTATTTTTTGAAACGTGAAAAAATAGCTGCTAATGAGCTCTAAATTATCCCATGTCAAAAATCAAATTTTGTTAATTTTTGAACGATTTTTTCTGCTAACTTGCGGTAAGGTAGCATCGACGCCGTTTTTCCAAAAACTGGGTTAGCTGAAAATTTTTTTGGAAACGTAGAAAATCATCTCTTAATTAACTTTAAATTATCCGATATCAGAAATTCAATTCTATTGATTTTTTAAATGATTATTCTGCTAACTTACAAAAAAACTAGCATGAATACGTTTTTTTTTAATGGCATAAGCAGAAAAATTATTAGGTGCACATAGAATTAGTTCATAATGAGCCGCAACGCTATTGTTTCCCGAACGGCATAAAGATGAAAACTTTTGGAATAATAACAAATCATCCGATAATGATTTTTCAATTATCCAATGTCAAAAAGGATCTTTTCATCACTTTTACACATGTGGTCATTCCTGCATTTTGGGCAAAAGTATATAAATGCATCAAATTGTTTTATTAAAAAAAAACTATTTTTTGAGAAAAAAAATTTCATCTCCAACTATTTTTCGAAACGTGAAAAATAGTTGCCAATGAGTTATAAATTATCCCACGTCGAAAACCAAATTTCGTTAATTTTTAACCATTTTTTCTGCTAACTTGCGGTAAGGTAGCATCAACGCCGTTTTTCCAAAAACTGGGTTAGTTGAAAATTTGTTTGCATACGTAGAAAATTAGCTCTTAATTAGTTTTAAATGATCCGATATCGGAAATTCAATTCTATTGATTTTTTAAATGATTATTCTGCTAACTTACAAAAAAGCTAGCATACGCATCATGCTAGCATAAATACGCTTTTTTTAAAATGGCATTAGCAGAACATTTTTTAATGCTATTGTTTTCCGAACGGCGTAAAAATGAAAACTTTTGGAATTATAACAAATTATCTGGTAATGATTTTTCAATTATCCAATGTCAAAACTCATTTTTTTGCAAATTTTATAAATGAGATTTCGTTCTTTTCTACATTTTGATAAAAAGTATATAAATGCGTCGTTTTGTGAAAAAAAAAACAAAAATGTTTTGAAAAAAAAAATTATTTTTTGAAACGTGAAAAAATAGCTGCTAATGAGCTCTAAATTATCCCATGTCGAAAACCAAATTTTGTTAATTTTTTAACCATTTTTTCTGCTAACTTGCAGTAAGCTAGCATTGACGCCATTTTTCCAAAAACTGGGTTAGCTGGAAATTTTGTGAAAACGTAGAAAATTAGCTGTTAATTAGCTGTAAATTGTCCGATATCGAAAATCACATTCTATTGATTTTTTAAATAATTTTTCTGCTGACTTACAAAAAAGCTAGCAGAGACACGTTTTTTTCAAAAACGGTATTAGCAAAAACATTTTTAAAGGCATATAAAATTAGCTCATAATAAGCTGCAAATTATCCAATATTGAAAATTCGATTCTGCTACTTTTGCCTGCTAGGTTAACATACATCAACTTCCATTCGTTAAATGAGACAGGCGAATGAAATAATAAGAGAGAAGATGGAGAAGAGGAGAAGAAAAGAAGAATAAGAATGAGTTTTAATTAAATTTTCCTATTTTCTTTATCTGATTTCAGATAAACCTACGCCTCATCCTTGTGAGTGGTAAGACAAAAGAGTTCCTATTCAGTCCAAGTGACTCTGCGGGGGACATAGCTCATCATGTGTTTGAAAACTGGCCCGAAGGTATGTCCTAATTTATAACTTCACTCTTGCTTCAGTACTTATCCACTTGTTTCACCTAATTTAATGGTACGGACGGGGAAACTTCAGGCTTGTGGAGAGTAATCCATTTATTGTCTAATGCAACGGAGTTGAGGAAACAGTATTTGAGAATTATCATTGAAGGGGTTGAAGGGTATTTGTGAATAAATAGTCGATGTTTGAGTTCGCTTTAAGGGGAGACTACTATCAGTTTTAAAAGTCGCGAGCTATTGGATTGATTGATTGAGATTTATTCGTTGTACATTATGTTGTATAAAAATTAAGTAATGACAAAGTCATACAGCGGAAAAATAAGAGCAGATAGCTAAAAACTGAAATACAGTAGGAGATTGCAAATAATATGTACAAGGGCTCACAACAAGAGTGAGATTTCTCAATTATATTTATCTAAAAACGAATAATTAGTGCAAAATAATTGATTGTTTATTGTTCGTTTGCCCCGCAAACGCTTAAAGTGTTAATAATAATCCAGGGCCTCCAATTTTTGAGCTACAGAGATGTTTTTTTCAAAGTTTTTGAAAAAATGTGTACATTAACATGTACGAATTATTTTTTTGAAATTCGACTCCTACACAGCTAATTTTGTTTTGTTTAATATAAAAATTGGCGCCATTCGTGTAAAATAGACAGAAAAATTATGCTTAAAATATTTAAAATACAGGATGTCCCATTTGAAAAAATGCGGCCAAATATCTCCTAAGGCGGGCGAGTAACAAAAAACTGTTCAATTCAAAAATTGTAGGGTTTCGAGGGGGACATTCGATACATTCATTATTTTGAGCTTTCAAGCTCATGCTTGCAAGCTGCAAGCACAAAGTGCTTTTTTTCGAATGGCAACCGCATTTTTCCTCCCAATTAAACTTGTTCATCTTGATGAGTTGTTTTCAGATACCTCGTCATCCATGTAATTTCTCCTAATTTTGCTCGAAAACTGCCACAAAAAAGATTTATGTGGTCAAATTGAAGATTCAAACATCCTTGGCGCAACTTGGTGTAATTGTTCCGTTGACCTGTTTACCAACCGGAATTATCAAATGTAAACAATAAACAAAAAATTTTCCTACTCCTTCGAGGATTCTTTTATTCTCATCAGTGTCAATTCAATCAGAATCGAGTTAGTATCATTTCGTTAAACACATCAAGATGTATTCAGCCAGTAAAATTGTCGATATTTTACTCGTTTTGGGAGAGTGTAGAGGAGTGTATCGAGCCGCTGCTCGAACATATCGTGAACGGTGCCGCAATCGCCTACATTATCTAACAGATTCAGTTATTCAGAAGATTGAAAGGAGTTGTAGAAGAGGGAGAATCCTTCGACGACAACAACAACGACAACAAGGTATTAATTCTGATGATCCCCGAGCTGTTGCCATATTCACTATGATTCACATGAATCCTCACATCAGTTTAAGAGAAATTGAGCGAGATTTAGCAGTAGGACGGAGCACAGTACAAAGAATTTTGCAATCTGGCCGCTACCACCCGTATCACATAACGTTGACTCAAGCATTGTCTGCGCAAGACAGGCAAAATCGTGTTGATTTTTGTAACTGGGCGTTGCAGAGACTGCATGAAGATCCACATTTTTTTCAGTACGTGCTCTTCACACTGAGAGAAAAAATTAAATCTGCTGAAAATATATTTATTCCGCTTAAAAATATCGAGATAACTTCTTCTAATAATATAAGATACGTGGAGTCAACGTATAGTTTGATGTAAATAGATAAATAATTTGTCGCCTCAAAATCTGTATTTTTTTCAAGTACACAAGTCAAGCGGAAAAGAAGTACACTATTCCGCTGATTACAAAAAAGCTTCGTAAAAGGTTTTGAAATTTTCTGTGGATCAGATGTTTGATCGTCTCAAACTTATCCGTTTGTGACCTCAGAACTGGACTTTGATTTCTCACTCAATAACTATCAATGGCGGGAAAACAAATGAGTAATATTGGAAATAATAGACAAAGTCGCAGTAGAGATTATACAGTCGTATTTTTGCTGAAAGAATGGTTCTTCTGTCAGCTCAAACTTCTGCTTCGGGGAAAATTTTTTGGTTTGCATTCAAACAGATTATTATTTATCATGATATTTGAATCCTGGCATTCTACTCGAAAGAATATGTATTCATATGCCACTGTCAGATTTTCAAGTAGAAAGAATAAATTTGTCGCTGCAGAATATTTTCTCGTGGGGAATAATAATCTTGAGACCAGAAAATTTTGTACAGGTGAACATTTATCTTTTCGGCAGACCTAATTTTTTCTCTCAGTGCAGCAACGAGGCAACGTTCCGGAGTACTGGATCGTTAAATCGACACAATTGTCATTATTGTTCAAGGGTACATCCTCACTGGACGCAACATCGATCATCAGCATCGTTGGAAAGTAAACGTGTGGTGCGGTGTTGTTGATGGGCAAGTGATGGGCCCATATTTCATCAATGGTACTGTCAACGGACAAAATTACCTGGAATTCTTACGTAATCAACTATTAGTTCTGATGGAGAACGTGAACTTCCAAACAAGACAGAGAATGTGGTTTCAGCAGGGGTCACGCTAAAAAAGTCTGAAACTTCAATTTGACCACAGAACTCTTTTGCGGCATTTTTCGTGTAAAATTAGAGGAAATCACATGAACGACGAGGTATTTGAAACCAACTCATCAAGATGAACAAGTTTTATTCGAATGAAAAATACGGTTGCTATTTGAAAAAAGCACTTTGTGCTTGCAGCTTGCAAGCATGAGCTTGAAAGCTCGAAATAATGGATATATCGAATGTCCCCCTCAAAACCCTACAATTTTTATTCCGAACATTTTTTTTTACTCGCCCGTCTTAGGAGATATTTGGGTGCATTTTTTCAAATGGGACACCCTGTATATTGTTGATTCTTTCAGAAATAATTCTTCATGAATGGTACATGGTTGTACATAAATGGTCTAATTTTTTATTTAAAAAAACGAAATTAGCTGTGTAGAAGTTGCATTTCAAAAAACTAACTCGTAATAGTGATTGCGCACATTTTTTCAAAAATTTTGAAAAAAAAACTGTAACTTAAAATTTAGAGGCCCTGGACTATTTTTAACATTTTAAACATCTGCGGGGCACACGAACAATAAGTCATTAATTTTTATGCACTAATTGTTCGTTTTTAGACATACATAATTGATCTTCAATGTATGAGAAATCTTAATCCAATACCCCGCGACTTTTAAAACTCATAGGAGTCTTCCCTCGGCGTCGCTTCGGGCCGCCAACTTCACACTCGTGAAAATTCCGTCTCACTCGTATCGAAATATACTATTTTTCACTCGTACCGTAATATGTCACTAGGCCTCGCTTCGCTCCATTACATCACAGTTTCCGGGCGCAATGACATAATAGTATATTTCAATACGAGTGAGACGGAATTTTCACGCGTGTGAATTTGGCGACCCGAGCCGAAGCCGAGGGCTGCCAATCACACGAGTTGAAAATTCCCGTCTCATATGTGTCGAACTATATTTTTTGACAGTGATGTTACGTTCAATGAGTGGCCGAATGGTGCCTTTTTTCATTTACAAGTAAACGAAAAGACTTTTCGTTTACTTTTCGTTTATGAGTAAACGAAAAGGCACTTTTCGACGCTAGGTGATGTAGCAGCAGAGTCAAAAAAGTATTATCTGACGAATGGGACTTTATAATTCGAGCCAAAGGCGAGGTATCGCCTGATGATATAATATACTATTCTACAGCCATCCATTGAATGTTGGAAAAAATGTATCGCATTCACCATGAAAAAGAGTTCACGAAATAATTCACAAACTCACTTTATCTGAAAATTCAATAGAAACTTAATTTCGAATCCAATTTACTACTGAAAAACGGCAGAGAGTCCCTCAACTCGCGCAAAAAATTCTATTAAATTTCCGACGAAACTGCAAACTCAACTCAATCCAATTTTAAATTCTGATATTAGATTCCAAAACTAGAGGCTGAGTTTTTTTCTCGTCGGGTCGAAAAAGCCATCATATATCAGGCACTGAAAAAAATACAATACAGGCACTAAAAAAAAATTCCAGATTGTCACAATCAACGATGAAGACCGTGAAAATATTTTTAATTGACAAAATTTTAGCACTTTTAATCATTGATTGTACCAACCCTGTTAAAAAATTTGGTTTGAAATTTCCGGTACACTTGTTGGAAATTTTTATTGAATTTAATTACCACTGAAATTTCAAGCAATTTCGTCATTGAAAATTCAGCAATTCGTGGAGAAATCAAAGAGAACTGTAAATGTCAGTTCCATTTTTCCCTGAGAATAAATCGAAAACCAGAAAATTCCGGTAAATATATTCTGGAATTTTCAGGACAGTGACACTGAATGCGACTTAAAGGGAAAAACGTTATAAAATTTTAGATTTCACTGAAAATCCAATCTAATTTGACACTGAATATTCATAGTAGATTGGAAATTCAATTGAATTAAGGAATCCTCGTCCTTATGCTGCTTAAAATTCTTGAATTTTACTGAATTTTCAGTGCAACCTGAAATTTCATTATTTTTTTTCCTCTAAATCGAATTCAGTGTCACTGTCCTGAAAATTAGTAGTCTATCCTTCATGAAATTTCATTTTTGTCTAACAGTGAAGCTCGAATGACTTATTTTGCAAATTATCCATTCTTGTTTCAATGGCCTCTCAAGTTGGTCCAATCTTTTAACCCCTCCCGGCATCCAAAGGAGGGAAAGATTGCGATAAGAATGGACTTGTTCCTGGAAATCAGTGTTATCTCCCAGCGTAGGTTCTGCATATAAATGCATCATCATGTGTCCCATCACTCAAAACATGTCTGAACCTCTCTTCCATTATCCCACGAAGTAAATTTCAAATTTTCTTTCCATTTATTTCCCCCAAAATTGTTCAATGATACATCAAATAAACGCTGTTATAACTGTCCAACAGTAGTGAGAATTGTTTTTGT